AGAAATAAACATTTGAAATATATCAGTCTGTGTGTAATGAATGAATATAATAGACAAGTTTCACTTTTTGAATGGAATTAGTGAAATAAATCAACTTTTTGATGATATCCTAATTATATGACCAGCACCTGTGTATATATACACACATAAATAAATAGAATATAAATGAAGCATATTCAGCTGACTCGTGTGTTTGTCTGAACAGGACGAGGGCAGCAGCCATGAAGAAGCCCCCCGTCCCATGGAGACCGGGGGGGCAGCCGGCGGCTCCGACAACGAGGAGCACAGAGGAGCTGACAGTGACTCGGAGGAGGAGGCCCCCCGGGGTCGCTGTGGTGACAACGACGACAACAACAAAAGCGACTCGGAGACGGAGGCTCCTCCTCCTCGACCCGCCGAAGACGTCACTGCAGTCAAACGCAGGATGAGCGGCTCCGAGAACGAGGAGGAGTCGCCCGTCAAACACGGAGCTTCAGATCACGAGGAGGAGGGAGGAAGAGGAGGGTCGTCTCCCGCCAAATGCAGGAGGAGCAGCTCTGACATGGAGGGGGGGGAGAGGAGGCGCAAAGCGGCGCCGGGCAGCGACTCGGAGAACGAGGACGCAAAACCAACGGCGTCTCCGGAGCGCCGGTCCAACGCCGACAGTGACTCTGAGACAGAGACACCGACGAGACGCAAGGCAGCACAGGTAGACTCTGACGAGCAGGAGGAGGAGGAGAAACCACAGCAGCAGGAGGAGGAGGAGGAGGAGGAGGGAGGAGGAGGAGGAGGAGGGGGGAGGAAGTGGAAGGCTGTGATGCAGTCTGACAGTGAGGAGGAGGAAGAGGATGGGAGGAGGAAGGCTGCAGCAGGAAGTGATGGAGAGAAGGAGAAGAAAGACGAGAGTGACGAGGAGGACGAGAAGCCAGGTACTGACCTCAGACCAGCTCTCAGTACACTCAGTATTATTACTATTATTATTATTACTATTATTGTGTGTGTGTGTGTGTGTGTGTGTTTGTGCGCGCGTGCAGTGAAGAGGAAGAAGGCCGTCCTGTCAGACAGTGAGGATGAAGAGCATGCAGTCAAACCAGGTGAGATGACACCTGTCAGGTGTTTGATTGTCTTCACTGATGCTAAGGATTGTGGGATATTAAATGATTTGCGTTACTTTTTAAAAACGCTCCAGATTACAGAACTATTTTATTATAAGTTTCTATTTCCACGAATGTAAAGGTGTGTGAATTATATTCTATATTATATTATATATTTTATTATATTCTATATTTTATTATATTATATATTTTATTATATATTTTATTATATTATATTATATATTTTATTATATATTATATTTTATATTATATTATATATTATTATATATTTTATATTATATATTTTATTATATATTTTATATTATATATTTTATTATATATTATAATATATTATATATGTTATTATATATTATAATATATTATATATTTTATTATATATTATAATATATTATATATTTTATTATATTATATATTTTCTTATATATTTTATTATATTATCCAGACAGAACAGCGACCTAATGTAATAAAAATATTCAAAAACAAGTTTACAAAATTCTTTAAACATATAAAAAGAGAAAACCACTGAAAATAAATGAAAGAATAAAGATTAATTATAATAAAGTTTTAGATTATTGTGTGTGTGTGTGTGTGTGTGTGTGTGTGTGTGGGGGGGGGGGTGCTCAGCGGTGAAGAGGAGTCGCTCCGTGTCTGACGAGGACTCCGACAGCGACGGGCCGGTCGGTCCTGATGAGACTCTGGCGGCTAAACTGAGAGAACTGGGCTCAGACAGCAGCGAGGAAGACGAGAGGACGAAGAGCGCCGCCAAGAAGGACGAGAAGGACGAGAAGGCGTTGTTCGGCAGTGACAGCGAGTCAGGAGACGGAGACGAGGAGGAGTAATTATTATTATTATTATCATTAGTAAGGTCCTTCAACCTCACGTCATCAACGTGTTCCACAATTATTTAATCATCAAAGTAAACTAATGTGAGGATTCAACAGACGTGAGCAGCAGTGATAACAGTTATTTATCTCATGCTTCCATCACAAGTAGAAACATCTGCAGGAGGATTGTGATGCACATTTATTTATTACTTATTATCTATGATATTAAAAACAAACGTTTGTCCTCCAGGAAGATGATCACAGACATCTTCGGCGAGTCGGGAGACGAGGAGGAAGAGGAGTTCACAGTGAGTCTGACCGTCTGAGTCTGCAGCGGTTCCACGGTTCTGATGAAACCGCGGCTCTGTGGTTTCATCAGGTCCTCTGTCCTCCTGCAGGGTTTCAACCAGGAGGACCTGGAAGGAGACAAGAAGGAGGCGAAGGAGGCGCAGCAGCAGCAGGAGGAGTCCGACTCTGACGACGGAGTCGACCGCAGCGGCCAAGAGTAAGCACCAGATTCACACACATATATATATACACACACACACACACACATATATCTACAGTTGTGTGAAAAAGTGTTTGCCCCCTTCCTGATTTCTTATTTTTTTGCATGTTTGTCACACTTAAATGTTTCAGATCATCAAACAAATTTAAATATTCGACAAAGATAACACAAGTAAACACAAAATGCAGTTTTTAAATGGTTTTTATTATTAAGGGGGAAAAAATATCCAAACCTACATGGCCCTGTGTGAAAAAGTGATTGCCCCCCCTGTTAAAACATAAATTAACTGTGGTTTATCACATCTTTGGAAAGCTGAGTTCAATTTCTCTAGCCACACCCAGGCCTGATTACTGCCACACCTGTTCTCAATCAAGAAATCACTTAAATAGGACCTACCTGACAAAGTGAGGTAGACCAAAAGATCCTCAAAAGCTAGACATCATGCTGCGATCCAAAGAAATTCAGGAACAAATGAGAAACAAAGTAATTGAGATCTATCAGTCTGGAAAAGGTTACAAAGCCATTTCTAAAGCTTTGGGACTCCAG